GGTGTCATAAAGGCAATTGCATATGATCGTTTAACAGGTGCCAATATTTCAATGGAGAAGGTTAGTGTTGGAGCGACCATAACCACAATGATTGCAGCAACATTAGCGATTGGAACCACTGTTATTGAAAATGCAGCTCGAGAACCGGAAATTGGTGATACGGCATTATTTCTCAATTCAATTGGTGCTAAGATCAGTGGTATTGGAACTAATCGAATTGTCATTAAAGGTGTTAAGCAAATGAATGGTGGAGTATATCGAATAATGCCCGATCGAATTGAAACCGGCACATATTTGGTAGCAGCAGCTGTGAGCTCAGGTAAAATTGTATGCCGTAATACTAAAGCTGACACATTGACCGTGGTTTTGGAAAAGCTGAAGGAAGCCGGAGCTGAAATTGAAATTGGCAATAATTGGATTAGTTTGAATATGCATGGCAAACGACCAAATGCGGTTGATATATGCACAGAACCATATCCAGGATTTCCAACCGATTTACAAGCACCTTTCACATTGCTTAATGTTGTGGGATATGGTACGGGTGTTATTCAGGAAAATATTTTCGAAAATCGTTTCATGCATGCACCAGAATTGATTCGAATGGGCGCACAAATTGAAATAAATAACAAACATTTGGTTTGTAAAAAATTCACAAAATTGTACGGAGCTACAGTTAGATCAACCGATTTACGAGCGGCAGCCACTTTGGTATTGGCAGCATGCATTGCTGATGGTGAAACATTTATTGAATCTATTTTTCATATTGAACGCGGATATGAACGAATCGAGGAAAAAATGAGGAAGTTGGGCGCTGACATTAAACGAATAGGATAAAGAAATTATCGAAAAATTCAAAATTAAATGTACACTTTAATACTAGCTTTAATAGGTAATATTTTGGTTTTTTTTAATGAAAAAATAGTAAACGAAAAAAATAATATATAAAAAATTTGTTTGAGGTATTGTTTGTTTAATTTAATTATAATTCGTTCAAATTTCATGTACAGACTTGATATTGGTGTTGCTTTCATGTTGGGAACTACGAAAGAAGTGTTTTATACTTGTAAAATTTATATTTAGCAAACAAGTTAAAAAAATAGCATGTACTCAATCTGTGTTAATTTGATGTCATTTTTTTAAAATCCAGAAACATGTTATATCTCGCTCTTACGGCCAAACTTTGTTCCACTATTTTCTTCTTTGGTGCTTGGATGAGTTACATTCCACCGAAGCATATTCAACATTATGACCAAGAATCCAACGAAAACACTCAAGACGAAGCAGAACATGAAGTTATTATTTACAACAATAACCGATCAAACCCAATCGATGACAATATTTAAGCAGCATTCCACAAAAACTACTTTCTTTTATTTTAAATTAAATATTAAGAATTTTGATACAATTCGCATTTTACTCAGTGCATTCATTCCTCGTTCTATACGCCAAATAGCCTTTGATGTGAAAAAATGCGTAACATTTCATCCAATTTGTAAAATAACATCTCGTACGTACCATTAAGTTTCAATTTACAAACGAATCATATTAAATTACAATAAATAATAAAATTTTCATTCGAAAAAATCGTGTTTAAATGCATAAAGCTGAAAAATGTAGACCACACAAAAATTCCCGTCAAATTCAAGTTTATCAATGATGAATAGTTTACGGCACCGGACAACAGATGGCGGTAGCTCTGAGCTTATCAGTCATAAAAATGAATTTTTCTCAAGAATTTTTCATTGAATATCAGATTTATTGAGGAAAAAAACGTTTGTCAGTCGCTATTTCCGCTTTATCACCGCTGTTCACTGAAAGGATTCCGCCTTGGTGGAGCTGGGGTGCATAAACAGCAGGCGCTGGTGCTGATTAACGCTGAAGCTGCCAGTGGACAGGATATCGTTAATGTGGCGCGTATCGTTCGTCAGCGCGTAGCGGAGAAATTCAATGTATGGCTGGAACCTGAAGTACGCTTTATCGCCGCTCACGGTGAAACGGATGCTGTTGAGATTATTGCATGAAATACAATACAACACTTTACCGTTAAAGCTGGTCGGGATAGTTTCATTCTGGTGAGCAACTTGGCAAACAACTGGACATGTACCGAATTCTACCGTAGAATAAATGCTAAATAAGTTTTTTCTCGTGCCAAGAACCCCCAAATACCAGTTTTTATAGCAATCGAATGAAAAACAAATTTACTGCAAAATATTATTACAAAAGTCGAAAAAACTCAATAAATCGAACTAATTTCTCAAAACGTTGACTTTGTCAAGTCTGAATTATGTAAGATCAGTAGTCTAATGGGACCAATAAAGTAAAAATCTAGCTCATTGCAGTTGATTAATAAGAAATTAAAACATAGGTGGGTGTTTAAGAGCGGAATCACAATTGCTAGTAAACCCAAACACAGACCTGCGTCGAACATATGAAAGTTTTTCACCAAAAATGTTGAAATATCGAAATAAGCGGTAACTATATATTGTGAGAATGTGAACGGTAAGTGATCGGATCTCAATAGCAGGAATATCGCTTCTCTTTCTTCGGTCGTTCACAAATCGCCAAAAATGTTAATTATATTGTTATATTATTTGTTATATTAATTATATTATATGTTACGCATTAATTATTTCCCAAACATATGTTCGCTTCACTGCGCTCAGCTTATGCACATTATACCGTGGTTGAAACATACATTTGTTGTAGGTAGTGTTTGCTTCAAATTCATTGAAAATTTTTATTTTTCTTTATTGTTTATCTCGGTCCATCTAATCCAAAGTAGAGCAAAGCGAGCAGAGAAATACAGTATTTAATGATTGATTGAAATATGTCGTTGTATCATTGGTTTTAATATTTGATTTGGCATGTTTTGATTATTCATTGTTTTTTTTTAATTCGTTTTGAGTATGTAAAACACTATAATTCATTTCTAAATAGATTTATTTTGCGTTCGGATTTGTTCGATTTGATGATAGTCTCTCTCTCAATCTGATCATGATTACGTTTCGTTTAATATTTTTCTTTTCTTTTAACTTTTTGATCCAATGTTTTTGTATGCGGATTTCATTTCTTTCTTATTTCTTGTTTTGAAGTTGATTTTGAGCCGAAAGTGTTAACTTTGAAACAACACGAGTTAGAGTGCGGTTTTCGGCACGTAGACGCTCATTTGATTTGAATTTTTGTAGTTGCTACAAAACTGTTAAAATATATAAAGTGCACCCACACATAGATATAACATTACTG